TCTCTAAAATAAATGGAAAAATATTCTCCGGTGGGGATTAAAAAAAAATTGGTCCTGGGAATATTTTTTATAGATCTCCTAGTATTCACATGCATTTCTTTTGGATATATATATAGGGATATTTTGGTTTAATGTATTTATATTTTCAACTTTAATAGGTGATGCGCAACTTTTTCAAAGTGGCTGTACCAGTTTATGGTCTTATAAATTGTTTTTGAGAGTATCTGTTGATTCATACCTTCCTCAACAAATAGTATAGTTAGGTTTTTTAAAACTTCAGCCAACCTGGTACTTTGTTACTCTTTTTTATTTTTTATTTTTATTTCTCTGAATACTATCAAAGTTGAGAACTGTTTCATATCTTGATTGTCCATTTCAATATCTTGTGATCTTGTAGTGTAAGTCTTTTTATAATATTTCCATTGGGATGTCATTTTTAAAAATGTAGTGTGTCATTTTAGGGAGCAGATAGGAATTATATGTGATGAGCCCATTCTCAGCTTATATGTTTTACAGATACCTTCTTTCATCTGGTTTGTCCTTTTTAAAAAAGACTATTTTTAAAATACGTTTAAAAGTTGTGCTAAAAAGCATTTGCCATCTATCTAGTAGTCTTAATTATATTCACAGTATTGTGAAACAGATCTCCAGAACCTTTTTATCTGACAAATCTGAAACATTAAATCCATTAAACAACTATTCCTTGTCCCTTTTCCCCCTCCCCAGTAACTACCTGTCTACTCTTTGTTTCTGTCAATTTGACTACTTTAGATACCTCAAAAGAGTGGAATCATACAGTACCGTATTTGTCTTTATGTGTACCTCATTTGATATAGCATAATGTCCTGAAGGTTTATGTCTGATCTCTCTATTCTGTTCTGTTGGTCTATATGTCTGTCTTCTTGCCAGTATCGTACTGTTTTGATTACTGTTGCTTCATAGTATGTTTTGAAATTAGAAAGCGTGAGGCCTCCAACTTTATTTTTCAGGATTGTTTTTGCTGTTAGGGCGTCCCTTGATATTCCATGTAGATTTTAGGATGCATTTTTCTATTTCTATAAGAAATGTCATTGGGATTTTTTCCCCCAAGTTTTGTTTTATTTTATTTTATCTATTTATCTATCTATCTATCTTTATTGTTGAGAGTATTACAGATGTCATGCTCTTTCTTTCCTCCTATTGCTCCCCTCCACCTAATTTCCGCCCCACCCAGGCCTTCGCCACCTTATTGTCTGTGTCCATAGGGTAATGCATTTATGCATATAAGATTTTTGTTTAATCTCTTCCTGTCTCCCCCCACTCTGAGAATCGTCAGTTTGTTCCATTTCCATGCCTCTGATTCTCTTTTATTCACCACTTTATTCTGTTCATTAGATTCCTTATTTATTTTGACTTTTAGATTCAATTATTGATAGATATGTATTTATTGCCTTTTTATTGTTTATATATTTGGTTTTTTTCTTTTTCTCCTTTTTCCTCTTCAACATTTCATGTAATACTGGTTTAGTGATGATGAACTCCTTTAACTTTTTGTAGTCTGTGAAGCTCATTATCTAATCCTCAATTCTAAATGAGAGCTATGGTGGGTAGAGTAATCTTGTTGTAGGTTCTTGCTATTTATCATTTTGAATATTTCTTGCCACTCCCTTCTGGCCTGCCTGCATAGTTTCTGTTGAGAAATCAGCTGACAGTCGTATGGGTGCTCCCTTGTAGGTAACTAACTGCTTTTTAGCATTAGGATTTTGATAGGGATTGCACTGAATGTATAGATCACTTTGGGCAGTAGTGGTATTTTAATAAGTCTTCCAATCCACGAATATGAAATGTGTTTCAATTTATTGTCTTAATTTCTTTCAGCAGTATTGTATAGTTTTCATTATACCAGTTTTTCACCTCCTTGGTGAATTCCTAAGTATTTTATTCTTTTTGATACCACTGTAAATGGAATTGCTTTCCTATTTTTTTTTTTTTTAGCAATTATATATTGATCGTTTATAGAAATGCCGTTGATTTTTGTGTTAACTGTAACTTGGTGTTACCTGAGGATTGAATTCCTTTGTCACTTGTTGAGCGAAGTTAAGGTTCTTGGGGTACCCCTGAAATGAGAATTTTCAGGAACCCCCATGGAAGAATGAAATGTGATAAAGGCTTTATGTGTATGAAGTTACATTCCTCAGGTTCCAAAGTCCTCTGGCACCTTAAGCCAGTCCTGAAAGAGGTGCAGGTGGGAGTTCAGTCTCCCCCCATTCCATGTTGCAGCTGGGTGGAGTTCAGCATCCAAGCTAATTAAACTCCGTTGGTCTATGCATGGAGCCCTATATGGCCATAAGCCATGTGGGCACAGCGGAGCATGCCCCTGCAATAGGAGTCATAGGAACCCAGCACCCTGGAGCCAAGAGAGTGCACTTTTTTTGTATAGAAGTTGATATATTCATTTTTCACTGCTTGCAGTGGCCATGCCCATCCTGGCCACTAATTTGTTCCCAGGTGTGATTGACAGGCACCTGCCCACATCACTCAGACCTTTACTGGGCATATGTTTAAACTTCCTTTGTCCACTCCTTTCCCCCAGAGATCAGTGGGGAACAGATGTGGAGTGTTAAGTGCAGTTTTTTGGCAAATGGTGCCTCATGGCTCTGTCCATGATTTCTATTATTATGTTGAATAGGAATGCTGAAGGTAGGCATCCTTGCCCTGTTCTGATTTCAGAGGGAAATCTTTCACTACTCAGTATGATGTTCATTATGGCTTTTTCATATATGGCTTTTATTATGTTGAGATAGCTTCCTTTTATTCCTAGTTTGTTGAGTATCATCATAAAAGGGTGCTTAATTTTGTCAAATTCTTTTTCTGCATCATTTAGAAATACGTTTTTTTCCCTCCTTTATTCTTTTAATGAAGTGTATTGCTTAGATCGATTATCTGACATTGAATCATCCTTGCATATCAGGAATAAATCGCACTTGGTCATAATGTGTAATTTTTGTAATATGCTGCTGACTTTTTTGTTGAGGATTTGGGGGTTTGTGGTTTTCTTGTAGTGTCTTAACTGGCTTTGGTATTACTGACCTCATTGAATTAAGGAGTTTTCCCTCTACAATTTTTGGAAATGTTTTAGAAGGATTGATGCTAGCACTTTATCTCCTGTTTTTCTGTTCTCTATTTCATTTATATACTAGAGGCCCAGTGCACAAAATTCATGCATGGGGGGAGTGTCCCTCAGCCTGGCCTGCATCCTCTTGCAATCCGGGACCCCTTGGGGGATGTCCCTCTTGTAATCCGGGACTGCTGGCTCCTAACTGCTCGCCTGCCTGCCTGCCTGCCTGATGGCCCCTAACCACACTGCCTGCCTGCTTCATCGCCCCTAACCATTCTGCCTGCCTCATCGCCCTAACCACTCGCCTGCCTGCCTCATCACCCCTAACCACCTCTGCCTTGGCCCCGCCATCATGGCTTCATCAGGAATGACATCTGGAAGGTCGTTCAGCTGTCCGGCCTAATTAGCATATTATGCTTTTGTTATTATAGATTATTATAGATGCTGTAATCTGTAGTATTCCTTTTCTTCTGCTAAGTTCTTTTTCTAGTTTCTTTATTGATTTTTTACAGAGAGGAAGGGAGAGGGATAGAGAGCCAGAAACATTAATGAGAGAGAAACATCGATCAGCTGCCTCCTGCACACCCTCCACCAAGGATGTGCCGCAAACAAGGTACATGCCCTTGACCAGAATTGAACCAGGGACCCTTCAGTCCACAGGTCGAGGCTCTATCCACTGAGCCAAACCAGTTAGGGCATAGTTTCTTAAGTTGTAAATGTAGGTTGTTTGCTTATGTATTTTTAATGTAACCATTTATAGCTATAAATATTTTCCTTAGCACTGTTTTTCTGTGTCCCATAAGTTTTGGTATCTTGTGTTTGTTTTCATTCCTTTCTAATTTTCCTTGTGGTTTCTTCCATTAGTTGTTTAATAGTGTGTTGTTTAATTTCCACACATATGTGACTTTGAGTTTGTTTCTTTTACTGATTTTGAACTTCATGCATTTGTTCAGAGGAGATAATTTTTTATAATATATATCTTTTAAAATCTATTAAGACTTAATTTGTGGCCTTGTTATACTTGAGAAGAATGTATATTCTGTTATTGTTGGGTAGAAAGTTCCGATATGACTATTAGATCCAGGTGATTTGCTACATTGTTCAAGTTCTCTATATCCTTATCTTCTGTCTGTTTCCTCTATTCATTTTTTTTTTTTTAAAAGAATGGTGAAGTTCATGGATTGGCCACTTTATTTTTAAAAAATATGTTTTTATTGATTTTAGAGAGAGAAGAAGGGAGAGGGAGAGAGAGAGAGAAACATCATTGATAGCTGCCTCCTGCACACCCCACTCTGGGGATCAACACCAGGAGAACTGTGACCTCCTAGTTCATAGGTCGATGCTCAACCACTGAGCCACACCGCTGGACTGCGTAAAATTTTCTTTCAAGATCATGTAAAATTAGTAGTCATTAGGATTATAAGCAGATAGTTTGTAGTTATTATTTTTAAAGTGATTGTGTTATCTAACAGAAAGTTTGATTGACTGCTTCTATGAATTTTAAGTCTTGCTATCATAAATAAAATTTCAGAAATTTACTTTTTGTTTTTCTTTTTTCAGTTCCCTATATATAGTTAAGAAAAAATGAAAATAAATGAACCATTTATATTTTTAGGCCCGAATAGCATTTTTGCAAGGAGAAAGAAAAGGTCAAGAGAACTTGAAGAAGGATTTAGTAAGAAGAATAAAGATGTTAGAGTATGCATTAAAACAAGAAAGGTATGTGTGTCTCATTTTATTATATGAATAAATTAAATTAGAACACTTATTCTCTTTTATATCATTGTACAAAGTATTCGAAAGCACTTTGAAAGATACAAAATACAAGATGATATTTTCATTTGATTGTTATATGGGTAAAGAAAAATGGTTGAAATCTTTAAATTGAAATATCTTTTGTTTTAGAATCTAAGTCTTGGGATTTTCTTTTTACTTGGGTATATATGTTAGCTGGTTAATTTACCTCTCTTTTCTATTAACTTAAAGTACATTTTTTTCCTCCAACTTCCTTTGCAAGTAAAGTTGAAATAAATACATTTATGCCGTTTTTTATTTGTTTTTGGAGAAATCTACCAGTAGTTTCTTAACTGTGTAGAGAAGGAAAAACAAATTTTTCTTTCAACAATTTATTATTAAATTTTTCAGGGCAAAATATCACAAATTAAAATATGGCACAGAACTGAACCAAGGTGATTTGAAAATGCCAACCTTTGAATCAGGTAAACTTTATTCTTCTGTTGCCCCTGACCCCTTCCCAAAGAATAGTTTGGTTAAGCTTATTTTTATTTAATAGATATGTTCTCTTTTCCTTTGAAAGAATTGGTTGGTCAAATGGTTGACTATTATACTACTACTGTGTAGAATTTGGGGAAAATAATAAATGAATAAAAGTAAGTAGTTTCATCTACTTCTCAATCCTGTGGTTATTTGTCCTATTTTTGTTGTGTTGAAATCTGTGTAAAATTGTAGGTACATTTTTTATAGTAATTAGAGGTGAAAGGTAATGAAGTAATAACTCTTTCTCCACCTGTAGGCAATTATTGTTCCATTCTATGTAAGCTTAATTTTTTATTGAAAACTCTTTGCTTGGAGAAGCTGTGATTAACTCAGTTTAGTTCTAAAACATTTGGAAACTTAATTGAATTTGGAAATTGTAGAGGCAGCCAAATAAGGATAAGAGAATGAGAAATGTATCTCCAATTGGCCTAGCTCTTTTCTAAACTGATAGTGAATAGTGAGTCTAAGAGTACTATCTGACGAATAGTTGTGCAGAAAGTGGGGGCTGTATATAGAAAAGAGCTAATTTTAGGGTTCCATATGATTACAATTTGAGTATCCTAAAAGTCTAATAAGGTACATTTTTATTCACATGATACAATATTTGGAAATAATACTAGTAATTTCTCAGGTATATTTAGAACCCATTTATATATATATTTTGATGGTACAAATTGCATTCTGTGCTGTTGGAGGTTGGGTACTAAGACAAAAAGATGTCTTTTAGATATAAAATTTTCTTCTATGATTGTTTCCATATCTAAAAAGGCAAATATGTATATGTATGGTACGGACAGTAAAGCTTACATATGGGTTTGTTGTTGTTTATTAGGTATTATAGTACATTTTATAAATTTAGTTAATTGGTTTTTGGTTTGATATTAAGTACTTAGAACTAGGCAGAACACTTCATATATATAACCTGCAGTTGACTTATTTTTAGATCTTCTCCACTTTCTAATATGGCTAGAATGTTCAGAAAATAAGCAGTCACTTTCTAGAACTCAAGAACTGCCCATACTGGGGGTGCATCACTGTGAGGAAGGAGGCTAGTTGTAGCCATATTTTCCTAGAACTAGAGTCAGAATTGGCTAGCTGGTCTCAGGGCAACAGTTTGTATAAAGCAAAATCATCTAGCAAATAAATCTTTCCTGCCCACACTGAAAGACTTCTTTTTAAACTTAACTATTGAAATTTCTTGAAATTGAGGAATAAAATAACATCCAAGTATTTTATTTATGGGAGACACACTAATAACAAAGTAGATTGTTTTTACAGAGGTAGAAAAACTATTCAGGATATTTAGTGGGAAAACAAGCAAAGGGATGGTCAGAAACACACCATGCAAACAAAGTGGGATAAAATCATTTACATCAAAGTCTAGATAAACATTAAGTGAATCAGTATTGCCTTTTATATGCTCAGAATAAAGCAAAATATAAAAGAGAGAAAATGTGCAAAATATGGATTTGGCAAAAGTACAAGATATGCATGTTTTTATACCCTGGTCTCAATAATACCTATATATATAAAAGCTAATCCTATAAAAGGGGTTGTACCCAAATATCTAAAGAGCTCCTTTTTCCTTGCATTTAGATTTTAAAAAACTTGTAACAGTAGAAAAACAGGCAAAAGACCTGAAAAGGCACTTGATAAAGCAGAATTTACAATATGGCCACAAAGCATATGAAATGTTGCCCAATTTTATCAATAATTGAGGAAATACAACTTGAAAACACAGTGCAATACAGTTAGACCCCTCCCAGAATGGCTAAAATGAAAAAGAGAAAAAGTCAAGTGTTGATGAGGATGTGGAATAATGAGAACTTGTAGACCTACTGATGTTGGGATTGTAAATCGATTTGTCAGTGGTATTCCTAAAGGGAACATAGCATGCCCTGGGACCCAGTAATTCCATTCCTAGGTGTTCCACTCCCTAAAATGCATATGTATGTTCATTATAAGACTTGTATAAGAATGTTCATAGTATCATTTTTAATAGCAAAAAAACCCTAGAAACAACTGGAATGCTCTTCATTATTAGAATTCACAAATATATTGTGATATTTTAGCATAGCAGAATGCTATTTAGCAACAAGCTAACAAACTATAAATAAACCTGACAACATGGATGAGTCACATAAAATTGATATAATTGATTTATTGTTATTAAATTAAAAATTAATCTAGTTTTAGGAATTTAGGATAGTGTTGATGCTCTTCTGGGACTATCTAGTGACTGGAAAAGGGCACAAGGAAAGCTTTTGGGATGCTGATAATGTTTTGTTTCTTCATTTAGGTACTGGTTACATGGGTGTGTTCAAAAATTCATTGAGCTGTACGCTTACGATGTACTTCAAGAATATCCTTAGCAGCATTATTTATAATAGTGAATAATGGAAACTAATTTCAACATTAGGGGACTGGTTAAATTAAATAGGTATATACTTTCTATGGAATATTATGTAATCATTTTATATGATGTTAATCTATATTTATTGCCATAGAGAGAATGTTCAAGAGAAATTGTCAAAAGCAGCTTATAATGCAGTACACATATTGTCTTTTTTTTTTTAAGGAGGGAGAAGCTTAAGTGTGTATTTTCAGATGAAAAATATGAAATGATAAAGTCTTAAATACTATTGGTGATGGGATTTGGGGCAATTGTATTCTTTTTTAATTTTTTTTCTGTTATGAATTGTATTTTATGTGATTTAAAAATAACAAAATGGTATAAGTAAAAAATTATAACTACAAAAATAAGGTGACTATTAGAATGAAAGAATCATTTCTAGAAATTGTAGCAATTACTTTGTTCAGGGAAAGAATGAGAAAATAATAATGGGATTATTAGGGTTAGAGAAGTAATATATCTGTAAGAGAATATTTGTATTACTACCAATAAGTACATGTTCATGTGACTAAGGAGTCTAGGAGCCTAACAACTGTGATCCATTCTAAGTTTTCGACGTTCATTGAGGGTTGATCTTTAATGGCCCGCTCTCCTTTATCTTTATTTTTATAATAGAAATTTATGGGAAAATAGTGCCCATAAGTAGTTTTGAATTTCAGTCTAAGGATACTTACTCAGAGCTTAACTGACCTGAAATTATACTATTTATTAAACTTTTAAAATCTATATACTTTGTTACCTGAGAATAAACATGACTTTTTACCTGTAGTAAAACTTTAACTTTTAGTTCTAAAAATGAAATTAACTACATAAAGTCTACTGATACCAGTTCAGGATTGTTATTATATATACCTAATTTCTTACCTGTGTTGCTTTTGAATAACTACTGTAAATATTAAGTATAGCTTTTTAATTTCAAAAGTATTCAACTCAGCAGAATTCTAGTAGTTAGAAAAGTAATAATAATACTGTATTTCAAAGCCTGGGCTTTTGATTTTTGAATCCTTGGTAGTTATAGTTAATGTACATGTGGCTTTTCCTAATTTTAAAACGGGAGGGTAGTACCTAAGTGTTTGGGTTATTGGGATAAACACATTTGAAATGAGTGTGATCCATAGTAAATACTCAGTAAAAGTTAATTTTTTTTCTGTTCTTTATAAAAAATATTTAGGTGTATTTTTGTGGGAATTTTCCCCTTAGACAACTTTGGCAGTTATTTTCAATAGTTGAAATAATGTGTATGAAACTTGTCTTTTTGTTGTTAATTTTTAGAAGAAACCAAAGACACAGAAGCTCCCACAGCGCCTCAGAATAGCCCGTTAACGTGGAAGCAAGGCAGACAGCTGTTAAGACAGTGAGTAATGGCTCATTTTCAGTTTTAAGGATCTAGGTAGGAAGTGCCTATATTCAGTCACTTTTCAAGTGAAAAATTATTTAATGATACTGGTACAATGCATATAGTTTTTATATTGTTTTTTAAATGCTTGGATCTTTTTAAAGTTTGTTTCCTCTGAAAGTTCCCCAGGATGATGCTGTTTTTTGATTTACCAGGTAGTATGTTGTAAAGACCTTGAAGGCCAGAACAAAAACAATATAGAGCTCAAACTTGTAGACACTCCATTTCATCACTGCAAAATTCACATATTTGGTTTTAAGTGAGACTGGTTTAGAGAAAGAATTTAACTGGTTATCTGAAACTTTAGGAGTGGCTCGCCAAGTTCCTACCCTTTACTTGAATTTTTGAGGAACCTCTTTTTGACGTTTGAATTCTTTGTTGTATTAGAAGTACTTCTGTGGCAAATCTTACTGTCTTACGTTTTGCAACTTTGATACTGGTGTACTCCCAGTATCTTGGGTTACTTATAAGCATTCAACCTTCTCAACTCTAGACATCTTTACCTGTACTTAACTAACCCAGTGACGTGTGGTCAGACCCTTGACCTTGTTATATTACCTAGAACTACCTCTGTGGTAGTCTATGATCCAACAGTTATCTTAAATTCCTTGCATTTCTCACTCCAAGTTCCATGTTTTCACCCTCTGACTTTACCTTGCTCTTTAGACCCTGACTACTTTATTTTTTTCATTAGCTCCTCTCGACCTATGTTTGGTTTCTATTTTATTTTTGTTTGCTTGTTTTTTGCTTTCATTTCCCTAGCTCTGGCTTATACCCCAATATCCATCACCCTTTTGCTAGAACCCTTTGTGTTTTTTGGAGAGCCCTGGCCGGGTCCAGGTGGTTCAGTTAAATGATACATCTTCTCATACACCAAAAGATTGCAGGTTTGATTCCCGGTCAGGGCATGTACCTAAGTTTCTGGTTTGATCCTAGTCAGCATGTATGGGAGGCAACCAATTGATGCTTCTCTCTCACATCAGTGTTCCTCCCTTCCTCTCTCTCAAACCAAACATATCCTTGGGTGATGATTAAAATAAAAAATAATAATAATTCTTGGAGAAAAATTATAGAATCTTATAAATGCCCTTGGACAAGGGCATATATTCATAGTTTCTTGTCCAAACATGCAAAGAGCCTTTCTCCATAATCCTGGTCACCTCCTCCCATTGCCTTCAGTGGATATTGTGAACTTTTACCACATCTCAGCCCATTCTCTCTTGCTGTCAGTAGAGCACCTCAAGTTCTACTTCACTGAAAATAGGAAGGCTGTCAGGTGCGAACTCCTTAACTTTTTGCTTTCTTTCTATAAATGTATTTAAACCTCACGTTCATCACCTCAGTTACTAATGTTTCATTCAAAGAAGCATTTATCAATTTGAACTCTCAGTGACAAAACTCAAACTAGTTTTAGTAAGAACATTGTTTGGAAGGATGATGAGGTAGCTAGCAGAATTGAGAGAAGTGCTGAATAACTGAATGTCAGGAAGATGAGCGGGGAGTAGCATTGAGAACTTTCCAGGGACTGGAAAACCCAGGATTTTTTCTTATTCTCTGTTTTTCTACTCCTCTATGTGTATCAGTTTTATTCTTTTTCTATTGAAAATCACTTTTCTCCAGATGGCAGGAGATTCCCGATTATAGAGTAATTTCTATGGAGTAGAATTGGCTTGACTTGGTCAAATAACTGTCTGTGTCGGTTCTTTTTTACCTGGATTGTGTAATATCTTGGCTGCTCACTCAGACTACATGGTTGCAGTGTGGTGGAAGTTGTTTTCCCCAAAAGAGGATTGCATTTTTTAGAAGACCGCTATAGCTGTAGAGACAAATCAGTTGTATAGTATTTCTCTCATGAATGCCTAATCCCATTGCCTGGATTTAGATTCTGTCTCTTCTTACCTTTCTGTAAGATTAGTTTATTTCCAGTCTTCCTTGTTCATTTCTCAACTGTGACTGGAACATTTTCATGTTCCAGTGACACTTCTATCACAGACATATTTAAACGACCTTTTCTGTTCATATTTGATCTCTTGGAAACATTCTATATTAACTTCATTCCATTTGGAACTTTTTTTCTTACTTTCATGGTACTACTCTCTGCTATCATTTTTATCCTTAATTTCTCAAGTTCTTAATTTTTCTCAGTTTCTCTTATTCTTTTGCCCATTAGATATTTGTGTACCCATGCCTTCTGTTCTCACTTATGATTTTTCTCTGTATAATTGAATTTAAATTCATGACTTTAAATTACCACCGAACACCGATGCCCAAATATATATACCCAGTCAGTCTCTTTAGAGCTTTTGACCATTCTTACCATTAATAAACAGTGTCACTTTTATAGACACTACATATTCTCTTTTGAGCTTTTGACCATTCCTACCATTGTGCCTAATAAACAGTGTCACTTTTATAGACACTACATAATTATGTGATAAGTATCTTGTAAGCCAGATTTTGACCCATTCTTCATTTCATTGAATAGAGCCACCATCCAACTATACAAGCTAGAAACCGGAAAAATTTCTAAAATTCTTATCTTTTTAAAATATATTTTTATTGTTTTTGTTAATCCTCTCACCCAAGGATATTTTTCCATTGATTTCTTTCTTTCTTTCTTTCTTTTTAAGAGAAGAGTGGAAGGGAGGGGAAGAGACAGAGAGAGAAACATTGATGTGAGAGAGACACATCAATTGGTTGCCTCCTGCACCGGCCCCAACCAGGGCCAGGGTGGAACCTGCAACTGAGGTATATGCCCTTGACTATAATCAAATCCAGGACCCTTCAGTTGAAGGCTGACACTCTCTCCACTGAGCAAAACCAGCTAGGGCTCTTAGATCTTCTTTTATTCTACTAACATACGTATTATTGCACCAAATCACAGATTATAGTTTGCTCACTTTTCTCACATCTATTTTTCTCTTAAGTTTTACTTCTTATTGCATTAGTGTCCTAACCAAACTAGTCTCCCTATCTTTACCTTTCATCTGAAAATCTTTTGTTCTGCTCTAAGCAGTATAAGACTCCTTTTTAGCATAAGAAATGCTAAGATACTTTAGATAGAAATTTTAAAATTTGTCACACAAAGACACTCATGACCCATCATCTATATTTATGTCATAATCCAGTCCCTTTCTTCTTTTTCATTTTCATCCTGGATTCTGGATTAAGTACTCTGGTTTAGATATACAGAAAATTTGAAGACCACAGGATGATAGAAATGCAATGAGAGAGATAATTGATCCCAGAAGGAGAAGTGACCTGTCTGTCTAAACCTAGCATGTAACTATTCTAAGGTTTAGTTCTGCTCATTTCTTACCACTTTCCAGACCTAAAATATTTATCATCAACTCAAAACGGCTTCTTAAGGTTCACAGCGGTTCTCAACCTATGGATCACGACCATCAGAAAACACATATAGCATATCAGATATTTACATTATGATTCATAACAGTAGCAAAATTACAGTTATGAAGTAGCAACAAAAATAATTTTATGGTTGGGGGTCACCACAACATGAGGAACTGTATTAAAGGGTCGCGGCATTAGGAAGGTTGAGAACCACTGCCTAGGGCTTTTTAGGATTTAATAATTGACCCTTGATTAATGTTGGCTGTACTATTCACTTTCTTAATTAAATTTTGGTTTGTAATTGGCCTTTTTCTCTTAAAACTGGAACTAGTCTATAGAGAAGACAGTTATTGAGGCAAAGGAAGAATATATTTTATAGGATTATGGGTTTTTCTAAAATCCTTTAATGTAATTTTTAGTTAAGTTTGCTGGTGTTAACAATATGTGGGTTTTTATATTTTTAATTTTCTCTTATAGATATCTTCAGGAAGTAGGTTACACAGATACAATATTAGATGTACGGTCTCAGCGGGTAAGGTCATTACTTGGACTGTCCAATTCAGAACCAAATGGATCAGTAGAAACAAAGAATTTAGAACAGATCCTGAATGGAGGTGAATCTCCTAAGCAAAAAGGACAAGAAATCAAAAGGTATGATATATATTTGTAGGTTAATATTGTTTATATATGGGTATTATGAATCTTTTTAGCTTCTTTTTACTAATGTTAACAATTTTTAAAACGGGTAGAGTTCAAATTTAAAGACTCTTCTCTCCCTAAATGGTACCACGGGCAAATAAATTTTCCATTTAGGTGCTTTTAAAATGGCAATAATTCTGAAATAGGTGCAAAATTAAAATTTAAGGATGATGTCATGTAGTTCAGAGTTATTTTAACATCCTGATTTTTACATTTTTCTGAGTATTTTCAATTAAGTATTATGCTACTCTGTAATCAGAATAGCATTGGTTAGACTCTAGTGTGAAAGGAATAAGGCTTTGTGTTCTGTTTGGGTTCAGATAGCTACCAAACGTTCTTTTTATTTTAATGTCTCTATTGAAATATAATTCACATACCATAAATTTCATTTAAAGTATAAAATTTTATGGTTTTTAGGATATTCACAGTTGTCAGCCATCACTACAGTTTAAGTTGTGAAAATTTTCATCACCCTAAAAAACCCCATATTCATTAGCTGTCACTCCCCATACTCCTACATTTTTCTCACCCTCCCCCCCAACCCCTCAAGCAACTTTACTGATATACTTTCAGTCTCTAAAGATTTGCCTATTTTGGGCGTTTCATATAAATGGTTATTTTATGAGTGGCTCCTTTCATTTAACATAATATTTTTAAGGGTTATACATGTTATAGCACATGTCAGTAATTTATTTCTATTTATTGCCAAATAATATTCTGTACTGTGAATATACCATATTTTGTCCATCTATTTGTTGTCCAGTTGATTGGCATATTGGTTGGTTCTATATTTTGGAATAATGAGTAATGCTACTTTGAACATTGGTATACAAATCTGGACATGTTTTCAGTTTTCTTGGGTATATACTTAGGAGTGGAATTGCTCAGTCATATGCTAACTCTGATTACCTTTTTGAGGAATTTCCAGTTTTCCCAAGTGGTTGGATTATTTCACATTCCCACCAGAAATTTATGAATCCTGATTTCTATATTCTTGTCAGCATTTGTTGTTTACCATCTATCAGTTATGCTTTGGTTAATACAAACTTGATAAATGCAAGGAATCAAGCAGGTGAAACTTTAAAAGTTTTTTTTACCATTAGATATTACATTGAATAACATAGATTGGAAGGACAAAGAAAAGAAAGAGAATGGGGGAAAAAATTAAACGAGTTCATTGAGTTCATTTAGACCTTAAGAAATTTATATGTACAGTTTATAAACTAGCATTATTTTATATCTTAGATATATTTTCTGACACAGTGATTTAAAACATGTTCTATAACTTTTAAGTCAGCACAAGTCTTTTGTTTAGGCTTTTTATTTTGGAGAAATAAGGTCTCTAATGGAAGCAATTTAGCATTTCATAGAACCTTTATTTTCTATACTCAGGATTTCAAAAATCATAGAGTGTTTTTATAGCATAAGAGGAAAAGAAAACGTATTCTAAAATTTTAACTAAAGTTACTAGCTAACCAAGCTAAGTAGTTCAGAAGATTTATTAATATTTTAGAGTAATGTAGTTTACTATGCCATATGAATATGCATTAAAGATCCACAACAACTTCTTGCCTTTACAAGATTAGGACCAGCAATTGAATCCATATGACTTCAGTGTGTGGGCTTCTTTTAAATGGTTTAGTGGGAGATCAAAAAAGAGCTAGTAGAGATTAAAAAGTGTGATAGAAAGAATTTATATATAAAACTTGGGATATAAGGTTGAAGGACTCTCCCAGAAAAGGGAATAAAGAAAGTAGGACTGAAAAGCTAGGAAAATTCAAAGATCAATCCAGAGAGCCAACATCTGACTAGGAGTTTCAGAAGGAAAGACCATGTGAAATGATATTTAAACGATTGTTAAGGTAGTAGTAAAAGAAAGATTTCTAGAATATATTTACAGATCGCATTTTCTTTTTTGTTTTTTAACACATTGTATTTATACGTTTTACGTTGACTGTACTAGTAGAGCGCAGGAACGTATTAATACGTTTTTTATAGACTAGTGGTAGAATGCGGGGACCGTATAAATACATAAACTAAAGTTATCGTAATTTTACTGAACGTTGCCATTTGCACAAAAAATTAGCAAAAATGGCCCACGCCACCTGTTAGCGCGAGATAAAAGCTACCTGCAAACAATGTGATAAATAACTGAATTTTTTTATTGTTTAAAGTATTACGTATGTCTCCTTTTCCCCCTGATTTACCCCTCCCATCCCCCAGGACTAGTCCCACCGCCCCAGTGTCTGTGTCCATTGGTTATGCTAATATGCATGCATACAAGTCCTTTGGTTTATCTCTTATACTCCCCTCTCCCCTCGCTTTCCCTCTGTGGTTGGACGGTCTGTTTGGTGTTTCTTTGCCTCTGGATCTATTTTTGTTCATCAGTTTATGTTGTTCATTATGTCCCACACTAGAGGCCTGGTGCACAAAATTTGTGCACGGGTGGGGGCCCTAGGCCTGGCTGGCGATCAGGCCTGGTCCCCCCTGCCTCCCTGCCTCCTGCCTCCTTCCCTCGCCACCCTTGCACCGCCACCGTGTAGTTCCCCACCTCCGCCACTCCTCCATCCCTTGCTGCCCACATCCACTGCCACCTATCCCCAGTTCCCTGTCCCAGCCCAGGCAATCAGGGCCTGCCTGCCGGGGGAGGGACCCGGGAGGTTGACCACTGCCCCGAGGAAGGAGCCGGCCCTCAGCCCACCTGGGAAAGGAGCTGCGTCTACTGCCACCCACCCCCCGATTCCCCTTCCCAGCCTGGGGGCTCAGCCCCGATCAGGTGATCAGGGCCTGCAGGCTGGGGGAAGCTCCTGTGTTGAGCATCTGCCCCCTAGTGGTCAGTGAGCATCATAGCGAACGGTCATTCCGTTGTAACGGTTGCTTAGGCTTTTATATATATACTAGAGGCGCGGTGCACAAAAATTTGTGCACTCAGGGGGAGAGGGCGGTCCCTCAGCCTGGCCTGTGCCCTCTCGCAATCTGGGACTCCTCGGAGGACAATGACCTTCTGGCTTAGGCCTGCTCCCGGGTTTCAGAGGGCAGGCCTAATCCTTAGGTGCAGCCCCTGGTCGGGCTCAGAGAAGGGCCGATTGGGGAGTTGGGGCCCCTACCC